ATTTTCAGAAAAAATCTTCTTCAGAGGGTAGAGGAAAAAAATGCATATTTTGCCAGTACTTTTCTTTCCAGTATTTCCTACAGAGAAAATAAAAGATTTGGAAAATCTTACTTTCCTTGGGTAAAATTACCAGAGTGAAAGGCATATGGAGTGTGAGTCCCTTGAAGCTTTTTCTGTGTTATCTCTTCTTGGCTGAGTCCACTTCCTTGTAGTAAATCCTATAGATGCTTGAGAAAGGGGAACTGTTCTAATTTTATTTTAAATCATCAAGTATTTTTCCTTTTGCATTGATGTAGAAGTGCTGAGGTTTTTTGCACACATAACTTTTATAGAACCTGTGTTAGTTGGAAAGCTTACTAATTGAACTTATTACTTACTACATCCCTTTTTAATCTTCAGTAATTGTATGTCACATGTTTATCCCCACTTGCACTTAAGTGGAAGAGAAGGAAATGTTTTTCAACTTCAGTCCCAGAGTATGAGCTACCAAAATCCAAAGGAGAAAGTACTAGGAGTGGAAAATGGATGCTAATCTTAAAATTTCTGTGCCAAACCACTTAAAGAAGGGCATGTGAGAATGTTATACTCCAGATAGCAATGGCAGATACCTTAGACTACTGTATTAGTTTGAATGAAAAATAATGCCAATAATCCAAAGACTATTCAAGATCACAGTGATGAAATTAGTGGTAGAGCTGAGATTAGTCCAATTAGAAAATTAATACCTTAAGGTAAAATGATAGGATAAATAATTACGTGATATTAGCCTGATTTCAGAAGGGACCTAGAAGCAATCAAAAGTATGTGGGGTTTTGTAACATTAGCTTAAATAAAAGATTAACTGTTGAATACATTTAAATGGACATTCTGTGTGTTAAAGTTCTTTCCATAAAACTAATTAGTAGAGACACCTCATTAGAAGGTTTGGGAGAGCAATGAATTCTTTATAGGGATGCTTTTTGTCACTTGCTTCTAATTCTTTAATAACATAAAGATAAATTAACAATTTCAGTAATTTTATACGAGAAAGTGCTGTGATTGTGTATCATCATACATCTCTTAATTCATAATCTGGCTAGATTTTGCCAGATCTCTTTTAGAATGGCTGCCAAGGGAGTGCAGACAACCCATCTCTCTGCTTACGGCAAAAGGAGTGATGTGTATATCATGCAGTTGTGTGGTCATGGTGGGCAAAACCACGACAGTAAGGCTTTGTGTGCTCTGCTGAAATGCTGGTGGGTGGAAGAGTAGCAGAACAAAATCCCACGGCTCTTTCTACAGAGTAACATCACCCATAGAACATCACTTATTGGCTTGACAGCCTGTGATCAGCAAGTCAGGACTACAGAAGGATAAGGAAAAAAACTCAGTCACCAGGTGTAATTGCACTTTCTGAGGTATTTGTAGGGTGGTCATCTTGGGATTGCTGTGACAAGACTGCAATGAGATTTTCTCTTGATGTTAACAGACAGAAATAGACCCCCAATTCTTGAAAAATTGTTTATTCTTCCTAAATAAGCCCGGCCAGGTCTCTGCTAAATTTTATCATAAAGTTATATAATTTTTTCATATAGGCCATTTTCTTCTGCAGTGTGATTCAGAATGAAGATAATCTTCCACGCAGATTGTCTTTTTAACAAAAAGGATATTGCAAAGTAAATTTACACTGTAACTAAATGAACGTTAAAAGTTAGCTATGCTGATGGAATGATTAGAAATAGTCTCATAAAAGTTTGAGTGTAGGGAGACAACACATTGACACAACTATGACTCAAAACACATTTTTCTCTCTCCTTCTGCATCTGCTGCCCATAACAAACACTCCTACCATGCAACCAACTTTTATGTTATAAACTCTGAATTTTAGCAATGACTGTTGTAGCACTGGTTTTGGGGTTCCTAGGTCAGGCATATAGTGAAAGATTATGGGAAGTTGTTTTTCTATTCATGGACTTGGAGAACTTCAAAATAACCACATCTCTGCTAATACCCAACTGTGGAACCTAAATATGAACATACTCCTTCTCGTCAATTGTTCTGGTGATGCTGCTTGCACAGTGATAGCATGGAGAATTATAAGTGGTATCACTGGCAATAAAGGCACATGAACAACTGATACTGGAAAGAGGGGATGACTAGAAGCAAGGAGTGGCATGAAGTTCCACAGACAGGTCGACTCAGATATAGATAACTGATGTAAGCTTAAGGCAAAGATGCTAATGCTAAAGCAGAATTAGCTTTGTTGCAAAATGGTTGATTACTTCAGACTGTCAAACAATTTATAGTAAATAAATTAATGCATACATGTGGATGTTATCTGTGCATTAACAGCAGGATTCTTCTGGATTAAAATGCATAACCCAAAAAGCTGTAAAGTAGCTGAGCAAGAAATAAAACAGGCTATGATGTCTTCCTCAAAGACTGATTATTTCTGACAGGCATATAAAGCAGCTGGTAGACAGGATCATTACCCTTCTGGCAATAAGGAAACAGAGACAGTGCACTTTAGGACACCTTCTAATTCTAGCGAACGCACATGTACCTAAGAATTTTGAAGATAAGGATTTGTATTTGCTTCTGTTCATAACATCACAGCCATGTAAGCTTGAGTGAGGATTCTGTAAGAGTGGCCTCAGTGCTTAAAGGCGTGTTGATTTCCCCATTCTCGTTTGGGATGTCACAGCAAGCCACATACATGTCAGAGGAAGGGACAATGAGAAGTTGTTGGTCACTCTGAGAAAGAAAGACTGGAGAAGGAAAATAGTCCTGTTTTAATTTCATAGCTCAAGAAGCAATCATGCTCCCTGTGGAGCCGGGACAAAGATGGGGCAGAGAAAATCAGTCACTAAAATTTAGAGGTGCTTGGCCAAGAGTAGCTCTTCACCTGCATAAAAATGCCAACACATTGAACTGAGGGATGGTGCAACTTTAGGAGAAGAATGATTACCTTTCCCAGTCCCAACAAATGAATGAGACTGGTTCCAGATCTAGAAGTTTTGTGGCAAAGAAAGCTGAATGGAAAATATGCAAGTTTCCAACTTCTACCTGTGAACATACACATTCAATTTAATCTAAAAAGGGGGAAGGTTTTCTCTGCACATGGAGTTGCTGTTGCAGTTTGCAAAGACTGTATATGAATTAAATCATGGAGACTTTTTTTTTCCTGAGACAATGGTAGTTCCAGCCAGGAGACTAGCTAGAAAAACACAGGGAGGAAAAAAAAAAACCTTAAAACTTTTGGGAACCTTGCAAGTGTTTTTAGAAAATCTTCCTGAGCTAAGAGTTTTGGTGGCAGAAAAGACAGAAAATTCCAGGTTGGGAGATGTCTCTAAGGTGTTGTAAGAAGTTAGAAGTTAGATCTACTAAAGTGGTAGGCTCATAAAGGAGGAAAGGGCTAGTACTTAATTTCTGTCGAGATTGTTGAGTGAATGATACCCTATGTAAGGGTGAGAGAAGTGCAAATCTGTATTCTCAAGCAGGAGAAGCAGAAAGTCTAAAACCTTTTGACATGAACTGAAGGAAAACAGGAAGATGTTCGTGTAGAGGCTAGGCTATAGTTGAGATAAAATTATTAAATAAAACGGCAGCTACAGAACATGCTTTTAAGATAGAAAGGTGTTTCTTATTGACTAGAGTAGTCAAAAGGGCTAAGTAAAATGTTTTCTTTGTGTTTTTGAAAAATGTAAAAGCTCTACTTGTAATATGAGCCGTGAAATTAAGGAACACTTGATGATTAAGAGGACTAGAGATTTCTAGACACTGTATTGAAAATCTTTTGATAAGGAAATATAGAGCCTGGCCTGGGAGCTTTAAGAAGTAAACCTTGTTAGTGCTATGAAGCAGATGTGTTGAAAGGTCTGTGGAAGTGAGTGTGCTTTACCTCGAGGAGCCTGTATTTTGTCTGCTGAAGAGAGCTGCAGGAACACCTCCTAAAAGGAACTTTTCATTGTAAAGTAAGGTGCATATGAAGGTCTTGTATTTCTGAAACAGCATTCTGAACTGGTTCCTGGTTCTGTTTTCTGCTTTCTTCTTCTCCCAAGGACCCTCTTCATCTTTTTCTGCACAAAGCAAAGCTGACCCTATAGCTTTTGTTGGATCTGATGTGGGACAGCAGACTGTAAAATTATTTATTTATTTATTTATTTATTTTCATGGGAAAAGTAAGCAAGAATGAGCAAGCATGTTTAAGGGGATTATGGACAGTAATGTTTTCCCATTTTTCCATATATTTTTTTTTCCCAAGCTTAATATGATGTGAGAGTTCCTACAATCTTTTTGATGAACTTTTTGTTGTACCTTGACAATGTTCCAAAGAGGGCCTCTTTTGCTGTGAATTTCTTCAACTTACATTGTTACCCTATCTCAGTTATGTCTTGGGCACAATATGCAGTATGGGCTGTATTTTGGTTTTGATGTTCCCCGGAGCTTTACAAATTAAAGAAATCAAACAATTGCCAGAAAAATAATTTTACAATGCACGATGTACCATTTTTATTTGTAAGAGTCACTGTTAACTACAAGGAGCTGCACAAGCATGATGTAATTTTTACAGACATCATTCTATGTGATGGTGAAAAATGAAAAATTCTTTGGTTTCGAAGCCACTGTTTGAGGGTCTCACCCTAAAATTTCATCAAGGGATTTCTTTGTTCAGCCACTCCAAAATTCATTATTTGCTATAGGAGTTACTGAAGGTTAAACTTGGCGTGAGCATTTGAAGGATTTAAAAGCACAGCATCCTGTAGATGAAATAGAGCAATAAAAACCTGCATGATTACTGAATCAATATTATACCGTTTCCTGTATGCTGAATTCCTTCATTTATGGTGAAAAATGCATCTGTTTGCTTCTTATCTTCAGTAAATATCACACCTGTTTTTTTACCCCTCCTCTTTCGTCCTCCCTCTGCATCTCCTCCCCTGTGACAAAATCAATTGCATCAGTGGATAATATAAAAAGAAGAGTTTTCAGTGGAGTCGTCCATTCCCTCCTTAGCCACCATGGGGCTAAGAGCGGCCAGCCTCCTCATACTCTGGCTGGCTCTTTCCAGTGCCCATGAAATAAAAAAAGGTAAGCTCTAGAAATGAAATGGTAGCAGACTGCCTCCTGGAAAAGAGGGAGAGAATTAAAATAGCACTGCAGAGGTAGAAGGAGGCAGAGCATTTAAATAATGCACTTATATAATGGGGGTTTAGGATGCTTTAAATTTCTTAAGCTGTCAAATACTGAGGCAGTATGGCTCAGACAACAGAGGTAGATCTTGCTTTTTTTGGAGAGATTAGTGCCTCTATCTACTGCATTGATGCCTAGTTTGATGTGCTTGGAAAAATATTTTCCATGTTACTTTTCTTTCAATCTGTTGAATCTTTCCTAGGTTTGGCAACTACTTCACAGAAAGCAACTGTAGGAGTTTGAGAGGATCATTGTTACAGCAGTGAGGGAGGTGGATGATTGTGCCTTCTGTTACTTGGAACAAAATAAATTCTTTCTTCAAAAGGGAATGGAGTAACATTGGACAAAGCTAATTTTGCCATTTAGGACATCAATTATCCTGCTGTAAAAGCTCTAACTTACTCTGCTTGTTATCAGCTTTGAAGTGTTAAAGTGGAACACTTATACTGAAAACCAAAAATTGTTTTTTAGGGGAATAGGTGATGAATTTTGTCCAGTGGTCAGGTTTGGGGTATTGAGCTTGGTCTGCTGTGTCTTGAAATCAGCAATGAGAGGAAAGCATTACTTTGCATTGGTATCCCAGCTGTGAGCTCTGTAAGAATCTCTGTGCAGCCTTCCATCTGGGGAGAGAAGGATACCAGCTTGTCTGGATGTATCTGGAATGACTGATACTATCAAAGTACAGTAACCTAGAGGTTGCTTTAGCAGTTTTGCTTTCTCATATTAAACAGTGGAAGAAAATCTCATGAAGATGAGAGACATACCAAATTTCCCATGGATGCTCAGCTTTTATGATTCACAGTACCTGGAGATTTATTAGATTTTGTGCTAATTTGTATTATTTGTCAGTATAGATGGTGGGGAAGGGAATAAATCATCTTCAGTTTTGGCTATTGCAAAAACTTTATTCTTCTTCCTATCATGGTTATTTTCTGACATATCTTCCGAAGAATTTCTATTCTGTAGTGATAGAAATCACTACTGCTTTTAGGAAAAGAAATAATTCCCTAAATCTCCTGTTGTGCACAAGTCTATTCATAATATTAAAGTATTTGCCTTCCAGAGTAAGTGACACTTTCTTGGTTTCCTAACTGGTTTTTTTTCTAGTACATGTCGATCAGATACTTGATCAGGCTTGAAATCTGTGGAATCACAGCTGAAAGTGATTTCTCCTGTAAATGGAACCCTTACATTTTTTTACATTAGCTCATTTACTGCACTTTTTTCATGTCTATTTCTTGTCATCACTTAACAGGACGGACAAGAAACCATGGCCACTATGTCTGCAGCACTTGGGGAAACAACCATTTCAAAACCTTCGATGGCGACATCTACCAATTCCCTGGCATTTGCGAGTATAATTTTGTTTCTGACTGCCGAGATTCTTACACGGAGTTCTCTGTCCACATCCAGCGTGCCCTGAACAGCAATAACCACCCTGAAATCCAGTATATTCTGATAAAAATCAAGGATATCACGGTGCTCCTCAAACCAAAACTAGTTGTGGTGGATGGGCGAATGTAAGTTCCTTTAATATGAGTATTTCAGAAAAAATGTGCTGGGAAGATAAAAGCAAGATTGATTCTTTACTCAACTGTCTGTATACCACTGTGGTAACTTCTACAAAGCACTTCCACAATCAAAAAAAAAAAAAAAAAAAGAAAAGCTTTTTGAAATCCAGCATAAAAATTATTTTATTGAGGGGTTTTAGTATTGTTATTCCTACACTTGTACAAGGGATTATTTAAATGAAACAGGAAGAGATGTTTGAGTGAATTGTTCTTCCAGTTGTGCAGGAAACAATGCAGATCATGAGCCAGATCTTTCACTGGCATAAAATGACATAGCTTCATTTGTTTTATGGCATCACCCTGAGTTTACCTTAGCAGATGCTCTAGCAAATCCCAAAAAAGGAAATGCATTTCTCTCAGGCATTTTCCCCTTATTTTGTGACAGCAGGGTGGTGGGGTTTTTTTCTGATCTTCATGAATAGTTCTTTAAGATCCAATGGCCATTCCTCAAGGGATTTTAACAGATATAACACAGGTCAAAATTTACAGTAATTTATATGTGGCAATGTGTACTTTTTCACAGTAAGCAATAGTATTGTTCTCTTTCTGTAACATGGCCACACAAGAAACTAGTCCAACATCATTACTGATGCCAAGTACTCTCTTAACCTAGCCTTTCCTATCATTAGCCTAACCTTTCAGTGTGTGTACATCTACTCACTGAAACAACTGAAGCAACTCATAAGTTAGGAAATAGGTCTGAAAATTCTGAACAAACTGGCTATTACTAAGTTTAAACAACAAAAAAACCTAAATCTTTTTTATTGTCACTGTAGGACTTGGTTTAGCCCAGATTTCAACTTTGGCTCTAAAGTTTGGAAGCCACTACAGTGAAATTATGGTTGAAAATAACATCCAGTATTCCAAAGATCATACCAGAATGCATACAAAATGGACAGAAATATTTTAAAAATGCATTGTTTCCCCCATTTGGAAAAGCTTTTTATTGGGTTCTCAGGTCTTGAACTCAATAAAAAGCAAGTTTAGAAATCCTTTAAAAATTGTTTCTTTTAAACCTCTTTTTGTCTTAGATAGTGTTTATAAACCAATAGATCACTTCTGAACAGGTTTTTCCTGCATGGGGAATTTAGTTGTTTGTAAAACTAAATTTTTCATATTGATCTTTAAATGATATATGATCCATTTTCAAGTAAAGTAGCATTTCACAGTACTAAAGTGAAAAGTGTAAGGCAGAAAAATATATGAATTTGCTTTATGGTACCTAATTGACTGATGGAATGAATGTTCTAATATTAAAAAAAAAAGGTAAAATATTCCATGTGGTGGTAGCTGAAAGTTGAAAAGATGCCCACTGTTTTATAATCCATCTTGAAAAAGTAATTTCTCAAGAATTCATTTCCTAGAGGATGAACAATGCATTCAAAAGTAGAAATAATTGTTTCTGTGTTTGCATCTGATATTTAGATGATTAAGTCATTTGGCCATGTTAAAAATGCGTGAGGTAAATAGCTGGAAAAACAGCATTGACAGGAATTCAGGAGATAAAGCTCTCCCAGTCAAGAGACTAGTTAAGAGGAGATGGGCATACACATGCATGAATCGTGATGGATAGCAATTATATTGACAAATCTGTAGAAAATGAGCCACTTATTTTGACTGCATTTCACTTTACAGTACTTTTGTTTGAACATTTTATAGGATGAGGCTACTTGCCGTAATCCCTTTATTGCTGAATGAAATTCAGTAGTTCAATTTGATTTGTAAGACAGACACACAAAACCAGGAGAGAGATCTGGTGAATTGATACTTTATCACACAAAAATATCTATGCTCAACCCTCTGCAAAGTATGTTCTGTAACCATTAACAAGCTCATTCCTGTCAACCAAAAACTAAGTAACTAACTACTGAAATAACTACTGAATTCCTCTTAAAATGCTCCTTTTTTTTTTTAAATTTGTTGGCAATCCCTGTATCTGCCTGTGCTTTTTGAACTCTCTTGAGTAGGAAGTTCCTTCCAAAGGAACAATCATTCTCTCTGAAATGGTTATCAGATCTTTTGGTAAAGAAAAGCTTTCATTTATCTTGTATCTTTTTTTCATTGAAGTGAATTTTTAGTGAGTGTTTGAATATCCTTTGTTAATACCACAGTGATGATGGATTTTCCTTTGATTAAGTTGAAGACATCTGACATTTTGCTTTTTTTTTGCCAAAGAACCTGTACCCTTGGGTAAGCTTTGCCTCTGAAATAACTTTGCCTTTTAAAGGCAATGAGTTATTGTCCCAAGTGTCAGAGAGAGAGATTTTATGCCTCATTAAAACAAGGCATCCTGTGCAGCCAGGATGAGGTAGTCAAAGACCAGTTTCTCTGTTCCTTAGGGTATTTGGCTTATTACAGACATTCATGTCAGGCCTTATGTTTCTGAACTAATGTAAAACCTCTAATTTTCCTCCTAGTGTGAAGACGCCTTACTACAGCTCTGGTATGCTCATTGAGAGCAATGACGTTTACACCAAGATTTACGCCAAATTAGGCTTGGTTCTGATGTGGAATCAGGAGGATGCACTGATGGTATGTTCAATCAAAGTATTTTTTATTGGTATTTCCAGAGATACTCTCTATCCCAGTAGGGAAACAAAAAAGGAGGAAAAAGAAGATAATTCTTTTATGTTTTTCCTCTTTCTTTACATTACTTAGGTGGAGCTGGACAACACATTCAATAACCATACCTGTGGCCTCTGTGGGGATTACAATGGAATTCCAATCTACAATGAGTTTATCAACGGAGGTGAGTCATTCTACCATACTGACAGTTGCCATAGAAGATAGGCTGACAAACCTTGTACATAGAAGCATCACAGGAGAGCAGATTTCACTTGAGAGATTTCTGTGATTGCCCCAGACTAAGCATCGTGTTCCAGTGCTGCATTGCTGGTCTAAGGTTATTTCATTCCAGGTGAATCTTATTGCTCTTTTCTTGACTAGGCTTCTTTTCTTTCTTCCCCTTTAAATTTTTAAGCCCGGTTAAACATAATTCAGAGGAGATACCTGTGTCTGACAGGTGTATTTGGCACCATAGTAACTGTTTTCCTTGATCAGAAGAATCCCATGAATTAGATGCTCCTTGTGGTCGATTTTTGGGGCTCAGCAAGTTCTCCAAATTTTTTTCTCATAGATGCAAGCTACAATTCAATTACCTATGGAAATCTGCAGAAGATCAGCAAACCCAATGCCAAATGTGAAGATCCAGATGAAACTCAGGCTCTTCCAAGCTGTAACAAGCATGTGAGTATTACCTGCTGGTGAACTTCACTTGCATGGACACATCCTTGTGCTATGGGGAGTTAGTGGCAAGGAGCTTGGAAGGCAGTCGAATCCAGGGCCAGTGGTCACTTTTCCTTTCTTGAATAACTGTTCAGAAGACAACAGTTTTTATGCAAGATAGGAAGTGCCCAGGAGCTCAGATATTTGCAAATCTCTCAAACGTGATTACTCTTTCTCCTTAGCGTGACGAGTGTGAGAGGCTCCTGACTTCCTCTGCGTTTGCTGATTGCCGGTTCCGCCTTAATTTGGAAACGTACATCCAAGCCTGCATGCAGGACAAGTGTGCCTGTAACGGAAACGAGGACTCCTTCTGCATCTGCAGCACCATCTCTGAGTACTCTCGCCAGTGTTCACACGCAGGAGGCCGGCCGGGTGAATGGAGGACGCAGCAGTTTTGCCGTAAGCAACGACACGAATTTTACAGAGACCCAAATATTTCATGGATGTAGCACCACGAAACATTTAAATTCATTACTGCTTTACAAAGCGTACATTATAAATTTCATTCCAGTAGTACAATAAATTAGATAGTGTTCTCCCTGGTTTTTTTCTTCTATTACCCTTGTCATTAAGAAATCTTTTTCAGCAAGCAGAAATTCAGTTCCCATTTAAGACTGAGAGGGCTGATGCTGCAGATGAATAATTTGATCTGTTTGAAACCAAAAGAAATAAATTTATGAAACAGAGAAAGCAGTTCAGAAATAGATGAACATGCTTTGGAATCTGGCTTGAGACATCACTGACTTGAGGGGAGTAGGGTATGTGATCTGAGGAATTTTGGTTTTTTACCCACTCAAATAACCCCTGGTGTCTTTCTTATTCTTTCAGCCAAGACCTGTCCTGACACCATGGTCTACAGAGAAAGCAGCTCACCCTGCATGGATACTTGTTCACACTTGGACATCAGCAGCCTTTGTGAGGAACACTACATGGATGGTTGTTTCTGCCCTGAAGGCAAGTGTTATTCTACCTATTGTGTGTGGAACAAAACCAAGAGCTCTGGCAAAGAGGATCATAGCTAAAATATTAAATATAGTCAATTATATCTTAAAAATGAGTACTGCTCTCCTTATTTTCCCTCTAGGGGAACATAACTGTAAGTTTTTTTTAAGCAGACATAATTGATTAATTACTCAATTATTTTATAATTTGAACGTATTAACACAATACTTTGTAATAAATCTGCTTTTTAATTCTCAACAAGTCAACTTCTGATAATATATAGAAAATCAGCCTTTTTAGTTTGAATAGTTCTGAGACAATGGACATCATTTACCAGAGTGTCAATGAGGCACTGAGATTGAAAATCTGAGATTTACTGTCAACCTTGGGAAAAATTACAGTGATACTCTTCAGAATATGCCAGAAGGACTGAAAATCTAAACATATAACATTCTGAGATTGTTCTTACATACTTACAGTAAGCTTTTTTATCTGTGTATAGTTCTATAAATGAATAGATTTGGATTTTCAGAGTTGGATAAAAATGTTTTCCATGTGTCTTACACTACAAAAAGTAGAAGCAGTATTCTTCACAATTCTGGTAAACTCAATGGCAAGTTGAGAGTTTCTCCTCTGTGGAAATTGCTTGTTTCAAAAGGAGCTGAAATAGTTAATGTTGTGCTTTATAGGAACTGTGTATGATGACATCACTGGAAAAGGCTGCATACCTGTTAGCCAGTGCCACTGCAAACTCAGTGGAAAGCAGTACGCACCTGGAGAAAGCATTTCCAATGAATGTGAAGAATGGTAAGGATCCTGGTTGTTTATCCGCTTTTCTTTGAATGATTGTAAATGGGTCTGGGTTCTTCAAATTTCCACTTGATCGTGGGAGACATCCTGAAAACATTCTGAATTAATGTTTGTGTTGCGTGTCTATAGAATCAGATTTCTGTAAAGTTTTCTTGAATCTCTGGCATATGCCAGGGCAAACCTTAAGGAAATGGTCAAAGATACAGTTTTAAACCACCTGGGGTTATATCTTGCTGTTTGCTAGGTATACTGATGCTTTCAGTGCTCTCAGCTCCTGTAATACCTACAAGCATTTTTTTTTTAATTGTCTGTTTATAGCACCTGTAATTCAGGCAGATGGACGTGCAAGGATTTACCCTGCCCAGGCACATGTTCAGTGGAGGGAGGTTCCCATATTACCACCTTTGATGGGAAGAAATACACCTTCCATGGAGACTGTTATTATGTATTGGCCAAGGTACTGTGTCCTGTAGGGCTGTTCTCTTGTAGAGTATATACAAGTGTCTGTGGGCTGATATGTAACAGCTGTGAGTTATTGTTTTATTTCATGGGGGTAAGGGAAGCAGAAATGCTCGTACTAGAAAGTTCAGGGTCAGCTGTAATAGCCTTAGGGGGAAGCTGGGGACTTATTGCCATGGGTGATTAACTCAGTCAGATAGAAGACCACCTATGCTGTCATTATCCAGTGGAGTCCTTTGTGAATAAGACATCAAAAAGTCACTCTGGCTGCATGCACAGGTAAACTGCAAAAATTGGCAGATCTCAGGATCAGAAATTCTCAGTCAGTTCTGTAAGAGCTGTTCCTCTATCTGAGTGTCAAAGTCAGCTAGGGAAATGAGGTAGGCAGCTGTTTCATGCATCTGTCCCTAAAATATCTAGTGGCTGTTCTTCTAGAGAATGGCAAAAATCTTGCTGAGCTAGAAACCGTACCTCTGAAATTGTTTGAAAGAGTAGCTAGAGCTTGTGAAGACATGGGGGTCTTAATAGCTAAGGTCTGTAGCAAGGTTATTGTGATATATAAATTTAGTTTCTTTTTGTAAGTCATCTCTTGAGATTTTTGACTGGACTAATGGACATTTATTTCCCTGTGATTGTAGGGTACTGCAAATGACAGCTATGCTCTCCTGGCAGAGCTGGGTCCCTGTGGCTCCACAGAGAGGCAGACCTGCTTGAAGACTGTTGTGCTGTTAGTGGATCACAAAAGAAATGTAAGTTTTGTTGTGTGGGTTCTGCTAGATATGTTGAAAATTGGCGTATTTCCCTTATTGTGGAGGAATAGTTAATTCTTTTGGAGTTGTTATTGTGGATATAGATAAGGCACCTCAGACAGGTTAAAGAACAACTCAGGTTTCTGCCTCAAGAATCCAAAATAGACCTAAACTTAACAAAAGATGAGATTCAAAATGGCTGATGTTTCCTCCTCTTCACTCCTCTGCTCTATGCTATATGATTATTCTCACAGTATTCCAGGTGTCTTGAAGCAAGAATCCCATTCATTTTCTGCTCACAGTATTTTACTTTATTCAGATATAATTTTATAGATATTTTTCAGAAGAAATCCTATCTTTGAATGCTGATACCAATCCAACCTTCTCAAATATTCAATTTAGTATTCTGTTTGGTTGTGGGAATATATAGGTTATATTTATACATAGTCTTACACAGGTGTACACATAGTTTTCCTCATGTATTTCTGGACTTCCATGTCTTTGCCAGCATAACTAGAACAAAAGAAAACTGAATCAGAAACCAATCACTTTATGTTCCTGTGTATACAGTCTAGCATTTTATGAGGAAGTTTAATAAACTGCTTTCTGACCATGCCAGAATCATACTAAACCATTTTACTGAGCTGTGGCACATGCTTTTATAAGGAATAGAAACTTGCTACAGATCCTGAAGACCTAATCTTTTCTTTTACTTGTTGAAACCAAAGTGCCCAATATAAATGAGTTTTGTATTTCGTTACTGCTGTAGGCAGATGTAAGTGAAACAAAACCGTACTTGTATCCTACAGGTCTGCTGCCATTTAAATGTTCAGATGGTTTCTTCCTTTCAAAAATTTAAGGTTCTAGTCACAGCCTAAATGTGCAAAAGGCCTTTCTTGTTAATTTCCCTTTTATTAGTTTGTTTTCCTCCCAGTACTTGGAACCTCATTGGATCTATTTGCCATTGTACAGGTGGTGGTTTTCAGATCTGATGGCAGTGTGCAACTGAATGAGATGCCAGTGAATGTGCCTCATGTGTCAGGTAAGTGACACAGCCTTGTACGTCCAGTGTCACACACCTGACTTCTCATGTAGGGATGTATTTTTCCCTAGGCAAAAGGGGAAGAGAGGCATAGGAAATTTATTCAGATTTAGGAACAAGTTGGGGATGAATGTGATTTAATAACCATCTAAGGATTTCATGGGATTGCTGACTCTGTATAGAGTGGATGATTGAAAAAAATGTCCTTTCACTTTTTTCATACCTCTTGAATATACTTCGGCATGTAGCTTGGGAAAGAGGAATTGCCATGACCAAAATTTAAAGCAGATAATTTACCTTGCCTGTAAAGAGAGGTATTTAGCACTTTCCAAATTTGGCTACATGGTGTGGGCATGCCCATTTGGTTCTGACTCCAGAGATGAGCCACTACAGGTAATCAGCCTTTTAAACTAATGAGGACCATCATCATATCTAGTTGGCCAGTGATTTTTAAAGGAAAAAAAAAATTAATTTCATCCTGGTCTCAGAGTTTTCATGGCAGGTGATATCTTAGAATCTAATAAAAAGTATTTCTTTTGGCAGCTTGTGTGTGTGTTTACTGCATAGTTCATGTTTTGTTTTTCAGCCAGCTTCTCAGTGTTCCAGCCATCTTCCAACTACCTTGTTGTACAAACACCTTTTGGGCTTCAGGTGCAGATCCAGCTGCTTCGAGTCATGCAACTGTTTGTGACTGTGGATCAATCAGCTAAAGGAAAAATTCAAGGCAAGCGTCTATTCAAATAGGAAGCAAAGTCATGCTGTTCCACAGCTGAAGACTCATGTACTTTTCACATGACAGATAACTCAAGCTACTTGTTGATTCAAGAAGAGCAAACTAAAACTAGAAACCAAAACATTGAAAGAAAATTGACTCAAGAAAAACTAGAAATGTGGTTTTATTTTTTCACATTGAAATGATCTATCACTCTGGTGCAAGTACATAGATATTTCTTGGAATATTCCTTACTTCTATATTCAGTTTAATTTTTAACTATCCACAAAAACAGGCTTTGGTGCATTTTATGTTTTCAATATCATCAGAAAGCATAAAATTACAGGTTGGGGTGGTAATCTCCTGAGGCAGAGATATCTTCATGAAGACTATTCTTCTCAAGAGATTGAAGATTTAAAATAGGGCTCCTTAAACTTCATTATTAATCGTTTGCATCAATATTAAGGTGGAATAATCAGCTGTATGAACTTCTGTTTCTAGTGTTTGTTACCAGTTGTCCCTTTCCTTTGACCTTTTAATATGAGAATGAGTAATGATTATGTAAAATTTTTACCATCTTTTCCAATAGGTCTTTGTGGAAACTTTAATGGAATGGAAGGTGATGATTTTAGAACAACCAGTGGGCTGGTAGAGGCCACAGGATCTGCCTTTGCTAACACATGGAAAGCTCAGTCCACCTGTACAGACAGGGTAGAAAAGCTGGAAGACCCCTGCAGTCTCAGCATTGAAAGTGGTAAGTATGTGAATAAGTCGGATGGTTGGCTTCTGCCAGAATGAGCAGTGTTTGCTGGATATTACTGCAACAGGCGTGTTAAAAGTTGTAGTGTGGCCTTGAAGATTTCTTAGATTAATATCTGCAAGTATGTTCACATACATGCACTCATTTCCCATCAAACTGAAGTGAAGGTTTAAGGGGTGACTGTAGAAGGGTCCTGAGCTGGAAGATTGGGAAGCAAGATCATTAATTTATATCATCTGTAAAAGCAGTTTGTATTTCCTAGTATTGTTTATGCTTATGTTTAGCTTGGCTTTATGGTACTCCAAGGGAAAGGGTTGTCACAATTCTATGTAAACAAATTGCAGCAGTAGGATACAGTTTTTGGATTTTATTATTACATGTTTCTGAATCAAAGAACAGAAATATATGTGTAATGACTGCATGTCGTTTCTCCACTCCCCAAAATGCACACAGTTTTCTAATTTGTATTGTTGCACTGTATTTATGTGCCAGAATAACTAGACGTGGCACAAGGAAGATAAGGAAATGTGATGAATTTCTCCTTTTTTTTTTTTTTTTTGCAGCAAATTATGCTGAGCATTGGTGTTCTTTGCTGAAAAACCCAGAAGGTCCTTTTGCAAGATGTCACTCCGTCATTGATCCTTCAGAATACTATAAGGTATTGTAATCTTGCATTCTTTTTAGTACTGCATTATTGCAGATGGTTAACCGTAGGCATTTATCATTGTTCAAATGTTTGAGACATTACCCAGTAGCTTGCCTGTAAGTGCTGGTGAACTCTTTGCATTGATTGACTCAAGCAGCGTAGCATGCAACCAAAGTATCTCCTCTGATGAGATTCTTATGGGGTGCTGCTGAAGTTTGCTATCTTATGTTTTGTATTTAATGAACATTTTTATTGGATTGGATATTTGAACTGAAAAGAAGATTTAAGAGATACAAGTGTGTCCTGACTACCCTTAAACAGTAGCTGCTACAAAGTCATGGAAAAAAATGTTTCCTATATTGGTTGGAATGTAACACCAAATCATTTTCATGCCAGAATCTCCATGATTTTTTTTCCCCCTGTGCTCATCAGCGTTGAGCATAAATGAGGCTTACATGAGGAAAAAGAAGAAATACCTAAGTTATTTCTTATACTTGGAACTCAATCTGAGCTCGAATGTGAAAATCTTCAAAGATCTGGTTAATATTTTGCCATTATGATTTCTAATTTTTGTGGATCTCTGCATTTCTAATTTGTAACTGAGAAAGAACGATATCAATATCTTTTGAAAAAGGTGTTGTCAGGAGGCTGGATATTTTTTAAAATTTCAAGAAGTTTGGCTTAGGTTAGAGTAAGCATCCGAATATTTTCATTGTGTACGAAATGAAGCAGCACTTTCAGTTTCTGGTCTTTGTCCATTCTTTGTCCATTGTTCTCTGGTCATGGGAATTAATAAACAACATCAGGAGAAGCACTCAAGATATTTTATATCAACCCAGTTGCAATTGCCCATTGGTTTCCTGTGAGCTTACTGATCCTTTCGTTCCTTTTCTCAGAAATGTAAATATGACACATGCCTCTGTGAAGATAATGAAGAATGCTTGTGCGCTGCCCTGTCCTCTTATTCAAGAGCCTGTGCTTTCAAAGGGATCCTACTGGGAGGCTGGAGAGACAGTGTCTGCAGTAAGTAGTGAAACTGTAATCCCTGCGGAATTAATTAGCCATGAGAAATAAGCACTCTGAATTTGTTTGTTAGTGATCTCAATGCTAAGGGATTTGGAGTATCTTAGAGATGTCTAATGGACCTACAAGAGACAATGCTTATAATGTTTACTATATTCTTTAGCTGTAATTTGTTCCTGACATATTTAAAAGTAGAAAGCATTATTTTTCACTTTCACCTTCTTTCCCCAGTTTAAATAATAATGTCATTTCTTTGATTAATGGAATCCCGGCCAGCAGGACTTTTCCATTGCCTTTCTTTATCAGTGTCTTCGTTTACCATCGTGCTAGCTTTTCATCAACAGTGTGGTACTGTTGAGACTAGGAGTTTATTATATTGTGCTCTCTCTCTCTGATTATCAGTATGTGAAATAAATAGAGGTATGAAAGTAGAAACTATTAGTAACAGTTAAAAATAAGTCTTCAATTGGTGAAGTTTGGTTAGTGTTACTTGTCATTTCTGATGTTTTTGTACTTAAAATCTCAGGGAATGTTTTTATCATTACATACAACCAAGAAAACCAACATGGAAATGTCAAGGTTAAATTGTCCATCCTGCATTTCTTATTTATCAATTTGTTTATTTTCCCTCCAGGCAGTGAAGTGTCTGCCTGTCCAGGAAATCAAGTCTTCCTTTACAACATTACAAAGTGCCAGCAAACCTGTCGTTCTCTTGCTGATGGTGAAAAGTATTGCTTGCAAGACTTTGCTCCTGTGGATGGCTGTGGCTGCCCACCTAATACATACTTGGATAAACAGGATAACTGTGTGCCCATCTCTGAGTGCCCATGTTATTACAAGGGATCATACCTGGAACCTGGGGAATATTTTACAAAAGATGGAGAACGCTGGTACGTTTTATTGTGGCTTCTTGTTTGTGGGGATCAAAGATTTTTTAGAAATTGCTTACTAACTGTAAGGTGCTTAGCTTTTTTGGTACTTTAATGAACATTTATAATACATTTCACAACACCTTCAAGCTGAGCAAAGTATTACCATTTTGCAATGTAATTTATCAATAACTGAGAAGTTCAGCTTGCTTTGGAGCTGTGGGTACTGGCCTTCACAGATAAACGTTACTTTGAAGCTGCATTATTAATAGGGCTTTGTTAAGCAGAGGTGTAAAAAGAAGATAAAAGGCCAAACTATATGTTATGCTGCTGTTTCCTTTTCTGGCAGAGACAGATTACTTGTATTTGCCATGGGAGGAAGGTCCCCTTCATATGTATTTAGTCTAGCATAGGCTTTTGAAAGCAACTTTCACGATTCTGTTGTGTTTTGCCATGAACCTTGGCAATTGTTTGCTGCCTGCGTCATTGGTGCAAACTGTTATTACATTCTCTTGCCCAGCAGAAGCAGCACACAGACCAACAAATTTGCAGCATGAGTTGAATAGGCATGAAAATACATTGTGTACCCAAATGAAGTCTTTGATTTAAATTCTCATTTTATCTGTTTCGTTATTATCCGTTTCCTGAGTCATCAGAAACTGCAATATTAAGGATTAATAAAAGGGCTGTCACTCCTTAAAACATAACCTTTCTGTGCATTAGACCTAAAATCTTGCTAAACTTTTTGTCCAAGTGAAAATTCTTGACTGTGTTTGAATAGAATTGACCTTGAAATATCAGTAGAAATTATGCAGAATATCTTTCATAAATACTCTCAAGTTTATATAAACCAATCCTTAGACTTAAATTGAAGAAATTGAGCTTGGTTGTTGTTTTTTTTTTTTTTTTTTCTAATTTCTACTTACTTCACTTTTCTAGTGTTTGCCGAAATGCAAAGGTCCAGTGTACCTCAGTGAAAATAAGAATGAAAAGTAAGTGACATTCTATAAAGTAACATAAAATAAAAACCATAACCAACCTTCAAACCCAAACTACTTTCCTTTTGAATTCTCCACTTACTTGTTTTGCATGTTTTTTTCCATGTAAAACATTACACATTTTCCCTTTGTTGTCTCTTCACTGAGCTTCTTTTTTTCAAAAGGATAGAGCATGTGCTGAGATTTAAGTAACTACCACCTTTCACACACATTTGTTTTGGTTTTTTTTGACTGATCTAAACCAAAAATATATCTTTCAGGTGTCGAAGAATGTTCTTCTAACAAGACATTCTTTGACTGCAATGCATCCTCAAAGTGGACTTCACAAACACCTGTACAACTTAGCTGTCATACCCCTCGAACTGATCACGTATGTATTCAACTTTTCTTCACATCATGTTTTCTTTATTCTGTATTCTCTAAATGACAGAGTGCTACACAGAAAATACAGCTCTAACTACCAGTTTATTTCTCTTTGGTTTAATCTTCCATTTTTTTTCTCCCCAATGATGCTAATCTGTTGCCATTTCATGATGAGTCCCCTTTTAGTTTCCCTCTCTTTCTTTTTACTGTGTCTTCAGTAGAGTTGTAACTCCCAAGTGAAATAGGATTTGTGTTCTTAGACAACCAAAATAAAAAAGAAAAACATTACTAACCTAGAAAGAAGAACCTTATAAACCTAATAAATATTAGGCTATTTGGTTATAAATGCAGTTTTTAAAATGCAGTACATTATCATAAGGTAACCATTTCTCCTTATATTCTTTAGTTCCAGACAGAGTGTGTCTCAGGCTGCGTGTGTCCTGAAGGTCTGTTTGATGATGGCAAAGGAGGCTGCGTTGAGGAGAAGGACTGCCCATGCATTCATAACAACCAGTGGTATTCTTCTGGGCAGAAGATAACAGTGGACTGCAACACCTGGTGAATTATAATTTTGAACTCTCTTCTAGAATATATTCTATGCAGTATATTAATAGTCATGTCTAGGCTTATGTATTGCAGTGGCTGTGAAAACTGCAACTATCATCCTTTATTTTCAGGGATACTTATTGCTATCTGAGGAAATACAGATTCTGCTGAAAGTACTGGGGCAGTAGCTACGTTTATTTTCAGTAGGCATCTCTTGTTGGGAAAATGCACTCATTTTTTAAATATAAATGCTATCTAAAGATCTAAAGATTGTATCTGACCAGAGTTAAAAATCATGCTATAGGCTTAAAAGCAGGCAAAACTGTTGAAACTGAGACTTGGATATTGTGCACATTTTCATATTGTGTTGGGCAACTGCTTGGTTTGTCCTGCAGTTTTCCAAATGACACACTCTTGGTGATATTTAAAAATTCAACTTCTCTGCTCTTTTCTAGTACCTGCCAAAAAGGGGTTTGGAGCTGCACAGACAATGTGTGCTATGGGACCTGTATGATATATGGAAGTGGCCATTATATCACTTTTGATGGGAAATTCTATGACTTTGATGGAAATTGTGAATATGTGGCTATTCAGGTAATGCTCATCAGGAGGGCTGAAATGGCATTTGATTGCCTTGAAGATCTACTTTCCTCTTTAGTTCTGTCATTCTTTATTGCCTGCCATCACTGTTCCTGAGCTGTTCACACGTTCTGCCAGGATAAATTGTGTATTTCCAGTGCAGGCAAGCTGTGTGAATGTCACTTTTTCTTCTGATATAGTGGTCATGAATTATATGTAGCAGAACTATTTTATAGTGAGAGCTATCATCTCATTATCAGTTGTGAAATAAATTCAAATTCTAAGTTTAGAAACCAAAGATACTTATAATTAAATACATATTTCTCCGTTTGTTTTATTGTTTTATTGGCCTTTTTCCCAGGCCAACACACTGGTTATATGTATGCAGGGAAATCTGTGTATATGATTGTGAGTCTGTAAAAATATATGTATGTAGGATCTCACATTTGAAGTAGCAGTAATGATTTATACATCGCGAAGGCTTAAATGATTGTAATTATTATGCTATTAAACTAAAATGAAATATTTTACCTAATTTTCTCATGCTTTTTTTTTTTTTTTTCAATAGGATTTTTGTGGTGACAAAAATTCCAGCGGCTCATTCAGCATCATCACAGAGAATGTCCCTTGTGGAACTACAGGAGTCACCTGCTCAAAAGCTATTAAAATGTTTCTAGGGGTGAGTAATAATACTCAGTGAGTATATACCAGTATTCAAGTATTACCAAAAAGGTAATGCTCCAAAGCCACATCCCTAAAAGCAGCTGTAACTAGTGTTAGAGGCTGTATCAAATTAATCTCTAAAGATGTAGATTCTTTATAAACCTCTCACAAACACAAGTGCTGCACCACTCGTCATCTCAGAAAGTCATCCCAGACTTGGAGCTATTAGTGTCAGAAAGAATTGTATTGTTATAAGTGTCTAGTGTTTCCTCTCATCATAAAAGTTACAATATTTCTCTTTTTATCTTTCAGAAAACTGAACTGAAATTGGAGAACAAAGAGTACAAAGAAATTCAGCGAGATGTTGGTGATGATGTGGTTTATTGGAACAGGACAGTAGGCCTCTACCTCGTTATTGAGGCTAGCAATGGTGTGATGCTTATCTGGGATAAGAAGACTACTGTTTTCATCAAGCTGAGCCCCGAGTACAAAGTTAGGACCTGTCTGTCTTTTTCTAAAGTAGTATTATGAATAGATAAGGAAACATCAATGTTCTTTTATTCTGATTCCATGTTTAGTTCCTATATCCTCTTCCCATTGATTAGCTTGCATTATTACTACCACAACTTGCAGAGGTGCTACTGGGGTTTCTTACAGTCTATCACAGGGAATTGCAGAGAATGCATCAGATAGTATTGCGGTAGAGCTAAACATCTAATGCACTCTGAGTTTGTGAACATTGACAGCCAACTATCTAAAGTAATTTAGGGATGCAAACTGACAGGAAAAGCACTTGGAAACCTACGTGCAATCTCAGCCCCATGTTAAAACCAAACTCCCTGTGCATTGTACGGAGATGGTTGTGGTTTCTTAAAATGAGCATGCTGAACTGGAGAGTATTGAGGCATTGTATAAAACGGGATGTACTATATCTTGAGGAGCTGATGGACCTTAAATAGCATTACCAAGAATTCACTACTGAGGGTAGATTGCAAAGTGCTTTCTTTCAGTGAAAATGTGTCCCTGTAATTTCTTTTCCATGGATGAGGAAATAGTGCTCGTTATGTTAGCTTTTTAAAAAAACAGTTGTGAGTTGAATTGAATTACCTCAGACTTGTATTAATAGCTGAGCTATGATAAATTGAGAAGAATGGAAAATAAATTAATTCTTCTCAGCTGAAAAAGGCTTGGACACTCTTTAGTGTTTGAAGTGGATATGGAGACAGAGATATGGAATATATACACTAGATATAATTGGTTTCAAGGAAGGAAGACATGGAAGCTGAATAATTTACTGAGTCCACAGAAAAATAAAAATTTATTTTCTGTGCAAGTGATTTGGGAATAAAGAAGAAAGTAATAATTTACACAGACAGTCAGCTGTCATTTTTAATGTCAGTGTTTTGCTCTTACGTTACCAGACCCTGTTTCTCACTTCCATGGTATATCTAAAAACTCTGGATATGTCAATTTTCTTTTCAAGGGCAAAGTGTGTGGTCTGTGTGGCAACTTCGATGACAAGACAAACAATGACTTTACAACAAGGAGCGGACTGCAGGAGCCCAACGCTCTGAAGTTCGGGAATTCATGGAAACAGTCTCCCATGTGCCCAGATGTCACACAAGAGATTAGGCCTTGTGATATGAAACCACATCGGAAGTCCTGGGCAGAGAAAGAATGCAGCATCATCCAGAGTGAAGTCTTCCAAATTTGTCACTCCAAGGTTTGTAGAAGGAAGTAGATGATGGGACAGTTTAGATAGGCAGCTGCTGGTACTGTGTCTCTACATGGCCATAGCATACAGAGTTTGTTCTTAACTCACAGTAGAAAAGTCACAAATAATTGTCAATTTATTTAACTTAATTTATGTTTCCATGTGGATCACTTCAGCACCTAAAATCCAGTCTAAGTTTCTCCTCTTGCAGTCCCAGGCAAAAAAATGCTTTGCTAACTTGTCACTGGGTAAACTTCAAATAATGACAAGCACAAAATTATCTGCTTCATATTTGCTGTGTAGAGCAGCCTTTTTTACACTGCTCACCACTTGGTTGGCAAAGCTTGATTGAAGGTAAGAATTCACTGGCATTATTTCAACTTAGATTTGAGAGCACTAAAATGGAACTCTGTTAGAAAATGTAGGCGCTGCCAAGGACTCTTATTTTTTTCAGTCATAGCAAATTATGAAGGTGCTGTATTTTTTAAGTCTATCATTACCCAAAATATATCGAGCAGCTTCACGCCTGTAAATGTTTGTTTGTGATTTGGTAATTCTTAGACACAGTCTCATTTCTGCTCAACTGAATTGCCATTTCTCAAGAGCTCTCAAAATTATTTTTAAACTAATCTGGAGATGAACTGAGGCATCACTTCTTTCCCCATCAGGTGGACCCAGCTCCTTTCTATGAAGCTTGTGTTCATGATGCCTGCTCTTGTGACAGCGGTGGAGATTGTGAGTGCTTCTGTTCTGCAGTTGCTGCTTATGCCCAAGAATGTGCCAAGGCTGAGGCCTGTGTTTTCTGGAGAACTCCTGATATATGCCGTGAGTAACAGTTAAACATAACTGTATCCTTCTAGCTGCTGTCAGAAAGTCAGTCAAAGAAATCATTAATATTATCACTGCAGGGTCATGCTGCCAGCGAAATTTATGTTCACAGCCTATCAGGGAACAAACAAGACTAGTAAATTTGTATATTTCAATTGTCTTTTATGCAACCTGGCTTCTTTCCTTTTCCCCTTTTCACTTTTCCCCCCTTTCCCCTTTCTCTCTTTTCTCCTTTTCTCTTTTTTGTTTTCCTTTCTGTTTCAAGTCATCCTTCCAGTTGATAATTGGTGAACTGCAACTCCTGTTATCTTTTCCTTCTCACATTTCTTCAAATTATTCAGAATTTGATTTTAGCAAAAAGTATGTAGCACTCCTGTGTAAATGAACCTAATCAGTGTTGTGTATGTTAATCAGTGTCCATCAGTGGTGCTAATACTCGCAACAGTACATCATAAAACAATGTAAAATAGTGTTTAAATTAATATTACCCAAAAAGTACTCAAATAAAAATTTTGAAAATGGCAGAAATATAACATTTCTTAATTTTAAAAAATCATTCTCATTCAGAATTAGGACTAATTGTTGTTTTTAAGTAAGAAGTCAGTGAAAAAAAAAATTATAAGTTTTGGTCAGCTCTGATATATAAGTTAGTAAAAGCTCCTCTGTCCACAATCATCTAAGGTGAATTTAAGCTGTATCCAGAATTACTTATATGCTTGCTCTTGGCCTGCTGCAGGTGACTCTATGTGATACAGCAAAATGGAACTATTTTGTATATACTGCAAAAAGTTTTAGGAGTTTGCTAGTAGAAATCGTGGGCTCCAGAGGTTTGATGTACCCTAAGTTTAAGCACAGTAGCAGAAAGTCCAGGTCCTATACCTCAAGAGAAATTTTACTGGCTTAACACATAAATTTATTCAGCTTGTGCCTTTATAGACCTGATCAGAACTGCATTCAGACAACCGTGTTTTTAATCAGCTTCTCTTTTTTCCCATCAGCAATATTTTGTGACTACTACAACCCTCGCAATGAGTGTGAGTGGCACTATGAGCCTTGTGGCGGTAATGTCATGACCTGCAGGATGATTAATAATGTCAGCACCAACTTTTCAGTACCATACCTGGAAGGTAATAAATTCCTTGCCATTTTTGTATCCTGTTTTGTATAACTTTGTGTACCTTTTAATGAGTATGGAATAATCAGTCAGCTTGATGAGATGTTCCTAAATCTGCTATGTTTAATTTGTCTCCAGACTTACATAAATATTTCCTATGATTGAATTTATTTATTAACATCAGTGGGTGATAGTTAAAATGCTGTCAGCCATAGAACTAGGTCTCTGCTTGGGTAATATCCTCCTACATGCAAGATTATTACACCACAGTTATTTTGCATCTCTTCCTAAGGTGTTTCAAGGAGGGAAAAATCTTTTATATGGCAAAGAAGCAAGTTACTGATAATTGGGGTTTTTTAACCTTATATATGCATCAACTTATAGCCTTATTTATGCATCATATCATCTTGATTTTACGGGATTAATGTGCAGCATTCTGCTACCTGTACCCTGAAAAATATCTTTGATATAAGACACACGGATGCTGCTATATATTGAATTCTTAATGGAGGTTCTATTTTATTTGTAGATGCCATATTAGTAGGTGAAAGTCCTTGTGCTTGACAACTGAAAAGGAATTTCATGTTATAGTGATTGCATTGATCCAAGAATGTGAGTGACTTTACTAATGTCTTCTGTTTTACCACATGGTAAAACTGGAGAAAAGAGTCACAGTTTTGGCTACGCAGTTTTTTTGATCTGGACTGGAAGCACTTACCTCTGGTTTAGGGATTGAAAAGAAATGTCACAAGCTTGACCTTGCTTGGAACTGCTGTTAAAAAACTGAAAAGAAAAAAAGCCACAACACAAAACCCAAGGGGAAAACCAAACCAAAACCAAAAAAACCCAACACTGAACACCCCCCACCCCCGAAAAAAAATTCCTAACCAAAATATTTTTTAAAAATCAGAAAATGTTTTAAAATAGATTGCCCTAGATTATTAGAAAGATTTGGAAAGTGTCAGAAGGCAGATTATTATATAGCCAATTCTCTTTCTAAATTATTTTTGTTGTTTATCTTCAGTAGAAACATAGAGCCCACCTACTTTTGTTAGGACATCTTTATTACAGTTTGGCAGTGTGATGTGACTTCAGTTTAAAGGTTATTTATAACTCCAGGGCAGTATAAAGAGGATTTCATAAGAGTTTATTTGGAGGCAGGACACATTAAATAATATTTTTTAAAGTGTATTTACATGAAAAATGCTATGAGAATTGACAGAATCCCTTGCAGTGGAATTTGGATGACTGGCCAAGGGTATGGAAAAGTGCAGATAAACTATCACTTTGAGGTGGAGATACCTGGTCTGTTAAAGGCACATAAACAAGTTCTAGTGTTCCAATAAATGTATTAAAACCCTGTCTGTTAGAGAATTTGCTTCCATATTCCTCACAAAAGTGTTGTTGATGTAGTGATCTATAGAAAAATTAGGATGTTTCTTTGTCTTAAACTTACTCGCTGCCCATAGAAATGAATATAAATTAGGAGTTTCTCCAAGATGTTGACATAGGTAGGAAAAAATAACTTCTCTGGTTTTCATTACAAAACTCCGACTCAATCCTCCTCACTCCAGTATTTTCAGTGAAAATCGTTTAAGTCTTTTGGAAAGTTCAAGCATTGATTTGAATTGTTTTTGATTTCTTTCACTATGCTGGATTCAGTGAGAATCATTTACCTTCAGAAGGTAACCTATCACCGAGTTAACTTTTTATACTTTTTCTTCTTCCTGTATACCGTTCTACTTGTCATCAACAGGCTGCTACCCCAGATGCCCTAAGGACAAGCCTATTTATAATGAAGAGACAAAGGAATGTGTGCCTGAAGATCAGTGCTGGTGTTACATCGATGGAATTCAAGTTCCCCCTGGGCATGAAATACCCACAGAAGAAAACTGTACCATATGGTATATAAAAATTACAAAAACTCTTGCAGTAATTCAGGAAATAATTTATGTATGCTAAGTCCCTCATTAACTTTACTGGGCTTCAAGCAAATAGAGATTCAACTTCAGCTGAAGAGCTGGTATATTCTTGCATTTCATAATTTTCCATAATCATCCAGTTTTCTGGTTGGTAGCCTTGTTATAATAAGTGTGTTAGCAAATTCATTATTATTATTATTCTTTTAAGTGACATAAATATCATAATGACATGAAACGTGGCTGAGTCTCTAGAGCAACCTTTTGATTCTCATGGCTCTTTGGGAAGAGAGGGACAACTCTGCTTTGCATTCTCACTTAAAACTGGGCTTCCAACATCACTGAAACCTGAAATACTCTATGATAGCCCTGAAGGAGATACTTGAGTCCTAACAGCTCAGTCATGGAACCTTGTTGATGATAGCACTTATACCGCTGGCTCCACATGGTGACCCTTATGTAGCTGTAAGTTCACTGCTCTGAAAAGCAGTTGTTATTGCACTGTCACAACTTGCAACAGAATGTGCTTCATGACAGTTTTAAAATGTTGTACTTAAACAATGAAAGGGATGATGTAGTTTAAATGAAACAATGATAGGCAGTACTAGAGAATATTATATCCAGAAAAATATCCAGCAGTGTGAATCAGGTTCAAGCAACAAATTTCTGTGTTTCTGTGCTCTTGGCTCTGCTAACAGCTGTCATAAAACATCAGCAACGTTTTAATTTTTTTAAATTTTTCTTTTAGTGTCTGTGGCCCCTCAGGATCCATACAATGTAAACCAGTTACAGGTAAATAATTTTTGGGTTTTTCTGCAAACAGTAATTAAAAAATACATAGTTCCTGCAAACAATAATTTAAAAAATGCATAGAACTGCTAGGTCTGACTCTACAAAATACTTAGTATTGATTTAAAATAATTCTCTCCAGTGCCAGTGAAAGTTCTGAGCAAAGAAAATCAGTCAGTGCTTTTGTTGAATCTTGTTGTTAGTACTTCTTGTTCAACCTTTATCTCATGTCCTTCATTTTTTCTCCCCATCTCCTGTATTTGAACTAATGGATTTCACTACGAGGGTTTGCACTTCCCGAATATATAGTTATTATGGGGAAGTGTCAGATAGTAAATTACAATTATTATTTCTCTCAGAACACTTTAAAACTTAATTACTAAGTCTGTTCCTCCAAACGTTTTATGCAGGACTTGATTAAATATGTTCTCATGTTGCTTTAAATGTAAAGATAAATTAACACATTATATTAGATCTAAGCTCCAGGTACAGCTTTAAAAAAGCATGCCTAACTCATGTAAATGGTCTCTTTTCCATAACTATTTTGCCTTCGCCTCTTACCCAGTAGTAGAAAAATTGCACAGTAAAGCTCTTTCTTGCAGGGTGTCCTTGTGTCATCAATGGAACGAGTTATGAAGTGGGTCAGATTGTGGCACAAGTACAGGATGGTGACATGTGTATAACGTACATTTGTGCAGAAAATGGTTCAGTAGTTCCAAATGAGATCTACCCTTGTCCAACACCCTCTTCACCTACAATCCTTTCAACCTCATCTCCCACCAGTACTCTTACCACCACAGGTAAATCTTCAACAAAGATGTGGTTTAAAAATTATTTTCTTTAAGAAAAATATTTTAAATATTGAAATTATAAGTATATGGGTTTATAGATGACACAGAGCAATACTTAGGACATAGGTAGAGCAATACAATTTTATCACACTACAGTAAGAAAGATTGTTAACATTTTGAGTTGATTTATTTCTTATAGAAGAAATTGTAACTATAAATGTACAGGGTGCCTTCCTAACTCTGAGAAACATATTAGCATCTCAAATATCCTAATGGGGTAGTAGAAATTTTCTCAGTAGCGTCAGCAAAGAATTATAATTAGAATATTTAAACATACTATTTTATTTTTTGAAAGCTTGCAATTGTTGGAATAATCTCTTTTTGTTCTATTTCAGTTACCACTACAAGCCATCCTGTGACTACAAGTAAGTTTTAAAATGTCAACGTTAAAAAATGTCAAAGAAATATTTAAAGGAGGAATAAAATAAAGACAATCACTACAGGAAAATACATTTAAAACAAAAATAAATATTTTTTTATAATTCCAAAAGTGTGATTGGTATAGACAGAAGAAGAACCTTTAAATGTGTCAGCTTGGTGATTTTATTTTGATGCAAAACTTCCAGTTTAAAACCCTGGTAATATAGAACCAATTTTAGAACTCTTTTTTTGGAAAGATGACAAATTACAATGCATTCCTCTAGTCCTTAATGGAAGAAAATAAAAAATTGATCTTCTCAGAATGTTCTCTGTAAACTCAAATGTGAAATCTCTGTCTTCTCTTGCAGCTCCATGCTTAGGATTAATCTGTGATTGGACTGAGTGGTTTGATGTTAGTAATCCTGAAAAAGATGGTGGTGACTATGAAACATACGATGAAATAAGAAAACATGGACACAAAATATGTGAAGCTCCTGAAAAAATTGAATGCAGGGCAAAGGATAAACCCGATGTGAGCTTAGAGGAACTTGATCAGAAAGTGCAGTGTAATGTTACGTATGGACTAATCTGTAAAAATGAGGAGCAAACTGTAACTATGTGGCAACTTTGCTATAATTATGAAATCAGGGTAAACTGTTGTGAATGGCAAGAAATTCCCTGTGAGACTACACCTACACCTAGTACACCACAAACTGCAACTTCAACCACCACCAAGACAACAGTACCTCTCACCACTACATCCAGGATTCCAACAGAAATTACCACCTCGCCCACACATGTCGCTTCAACCACAAGTGAACCTACACCATCAGTCCCCACTCCAGTAACTTCAACACCTCCAGGTATTTAACAGAAACATACTCTCTGATTTTACCTTGCCATTGCAGAAATAAAAGCCTGTTGACTACTAAAGGCATGTAACCTTTATAGCATATGTTGAGCTGCAAGGAAGTCTTCTGTGGGTTTGGGGGTTCTATAGTCCTGATGGAGACAACATTCCTGGAACGACCAGTTG